CCAGCTTTCCTGTCTGCTTCTGCCTTCTGGCCCTTGTCCCTGGACTGCTGTGCCTCATTAGTCCCATTTGATTTTATGGGGCTGTCCACTCCCAGGCTGAACGGTGAACCTCAGAAACGACTTCGCCACTGAGGGTGTCTGGGGGCCATACTCTCGGGGTTTCTCCAGTCTCCTTTAGGCCAGTAAATCTGGTCTTTTTTTTTGTGAGTTAGAATTTTGTTCTACATCCCTCTCCAGCTCTGTCCAGAACCCTCTGTTGTGATCCTGGTCAGAGCAGTCAATGATGGTAGCCAGGCACCATCTAGCTGTACTGGACTCGGTCTAGTGGAGGCCTTGGTAGCTATGGTCCATTAGTCCTTTGGACTAATCTTTTCATTGTATATAACAGGGATAATTCTTAAGTGAAGAATTCACTTCCAATGCTGATAATCGGTAACTTTGTGATATAAGAAATTTGTAAGTGTGAACAAGTAAACTTGTTGTTACTACCTTTCCCACTGTGTTCTTTTACGTAGCACTTACCACCATCTAACATACCAACTATTGTATTTATTTGTTTGTCTTATATTCCTGCACTAGAATTTAAACTCTAGGAAGGCAAGGATTTTTTGTTTTATACTTTGCTATACTCCCAACTTCTAGAACATTGCCTAGAATCTAGCACTGGTCAATAAATATTTGTTAAATGATGAAAAAGGTAAATTTGGCTTTGGAAATTCTTCCAATTTTTTGAGTAAAAGGAATACTTTGTTATTTTAGACATAAAGAAGTAAATAAAATCCTAAGCAAGAATACAGTTTGGAATAGTGTTGCTGTTGTTAGGTGCCATCACGTCAGTTCCAGCTCGTAGCGACCCTGTGTACAACAGAACGAAACACTGCCTGGTCCTGTGCCATCCTCACAATCTTTGTTATGCTTGAGCCCATTGTTGCAGCCACTATGTCAATCTACCTTATTGCGGGTCTTCCTCTTTTTCGCTGGCCGTCTACTTTACCAAGCATGATGGCCTTCTCCAGGGACTGATCCCTCCTGATAACATGTCCAAAGTATGTGAGACGTAGTCTCGCCATCCTTGCTTCCAAGGAGCATTCTGGTTGTACTTATTCCAAGACAGATTTGTTCGTTCTTTTGGCACTCCACGGTATATTCAATATTCTTCGCCAACACCACAATTTGAAGGCGTCAGTTCTTCTTCGGTCTTCTCATTATTCATTGTCCAGCTTTTGCATACATATGAGGTGATTGAAAATACCATGGCTTGGGTCAGGTGCACCTTATTCTTCAAGGCGACATCTTTGCTTTTCAACACTTTAAAGAGATCTTTTGCAGCAGATTTGCCCAATGCAGTGTCTTCTGATTTCTTGACTGCTGCTTCCATGGATGTTGATTGTGGATCCAGGTAAAATGAAATCCTTGACAATTTCAATCGTTGTTTATTGGTCCAATTGTGAGGATTTTTGTTTTCTTTATGTTGAGATGTAATCCATACTGAAGGCTGTAGTCTTTGATCTTCATCAGTAAGTGCTTCAAGTCCTCTTCACTTTCAGCAAGCAAGGTTGTGTCATCTGCATAATGAAGAGTAGAGTTTATCTACACATTTTGCTCTCTAGGTTATGCGTTTTTCTTTGAACAGTCTTGAATTTACTATATTTTTGTTTTATTGAATGCCAATAAAAGTCATTCCTGCCACCACACCATATATCCAAGATGATTGTGTCTCAGTCTCACTTAAAACTTAAGAGAACTATTCACTGTAAAAAAAAACAGAAGTCTAATGGAAGCTATCAGAAATGGCCCTTAGGTAGTAAAGACTTAAGAGACTAAAATACAGTAAAACCTGAGAAAGCCGGAACCTGCGTAAGGCGGAAACCTGTCAGAGAAGGAAAACATAAATATTTTCCACGAAAATAAGCGATAGAAAAGTGGTAAGACTTTACCCTGTCAAAGGCAGAAAACTCACTAGACTCGGAAAGACAATGCAATCCTGTTGAGTTCCGGCTCTCACAGGTTTCACTATAATAAAATTCGGTACAGTGGCATTATTCCTTTAAAAACACTTCAGTTGTTTTTCTTAGATGCTGATATTGACCAAACTTCTGATGTTAATTTGGGGTTATCAGTTTTCTGCATATACAAGTAATGGGGTTTGAAATGTGTTTTAAGCCTAAATTAAAAGCACTTAGTCACTAATGACTCATGGTGAGAAGTTTTTCCTTTTCCCTGCTGAAACATAATGCCATTGCCTCAACGTGGCCTTATTGAAAACGTAAAGAACCCTACTTTTACATACTAGTTCTAGAAAAGTTAAGTTTTAGGAGTGACCTTAATTACAGTGCTTTTTAGTAGTAAAGACTACATTTGACTTTCCAAATTCCCATACAAATTTCTTTACTCTCTGCTTCTATGGAAGTTTTCTCATTATACTATATAAAATCTTCAAAAATCCTCTAGACAGTAAATAAATGACCACAGGGGCTTTGTCCGTTTTGTTCATTACTGTATTCCCAGTGCCTGGAATAGTGCTTTGTACCGAGCAGGCAATTAATAAGTATTCGTCGAGTGAAGTTACGCACATGTCTTAATAACACTGCATCTTAGAAAAATAATGAAAGTTCTATTGCAATAACTTACCAGTCTTGCCCTTTTGAATTAGATAATCATCAATTCACAATCAGTCTAGTTTGGGAGGCTTCTCAGTATTAGCTCAAGGTAGTTCTGCCCTAATGGTTCCTAGCATAGATTATGCCAACTCTAAATCTCCTTTAGTGGTTCGCTTACAAAAAACCCAAATCCACTGCCTTCGAATTGATTCCAACTGATAGTGACCCTGTAGAACAGAGAAGAACTGCCCCATAGGGTTTCCAAGGCTGTAATCTTTACGGAAGCAGACCACCACATCTTTCTCCCCCAGAGCAGCTGGTAGGTTCGAACTGTCGACCTTTGGGTTAGCAGCCAAAGGTCTAGCAGCTGAGTGCTTAACCACTGTGCCATCGAGACTTCTTTCACTTACAAAAGGAAGGGTAAATTGGCAACACCCCATAGGCACTTGCACCTGTGAGAACCAATGGGCGTTGTAACAGGAAATAACTTCAGCTTGCAATACTGATAGTAACGTGCAGCACCCAAGTCACGCTGTTTTTATCTGCAGTTCCTTCTTAGGATTGTACAAGCTTTCTTGAAGATTTTTAAAAATTTTTCTGAAAATTTAAAAGAGAATTAACTTTAAATTTGAAAATTAAAATGTGAATGGTTATTTGGCTTTTCCTCATTATCAAGAAATTGGTGAGTTGTCCTCCTTTAAGTGGATTTCTTTCTTTCCCTTCTAATGTTGTATCCTATGAAACGTCACTCTAGCATACAGGTGGGCATAAGGGTGGAGGGGTACAAACATGTAAAATGATTAAAACTTAAGCTAATATTATTATCAGTAATAACCGGTGCTAATATTTACGTGATACTATAACCATGAGCACTGATAGAATTTGATAGATTTTTACATACAATTTATTTATCTTGAGTAAGTTTTCCTTTTTTGTAGGATTGGGGAGAAAATTAAGGAAAAAAAGTTTACAGAGTTCTTCCCAAAATGTCTAAACGTAAAGCTTTATAAAATGCTGTTGATGTTAACTGTCTGACCAGGAAGTACTCTCTTTAAGCCTCACTTATAAAACTAAGTGTCTATAGTAACTTCCTTTCTCTGGATGAAGGTGCTGATAGCATGGTGTTGTTCTGACAACTTAAATTGAGTTCACGTTTATCTTTCATAAGTGAATAAGAGGCAGCTTTTTAAAGAAAGCCATCTTTGGAGAAATCTTGCAGATTGCTGTAGCTAAATGGAGAAATTTTAAAGTCTTCAGTATGTTGGATTAGAAATATAGAACATGCATTTGAGAAGATTTGCTGTGAGGAAGCTTAACTGGTGTTTTACCTTATGTTTCATATTTTATTAAAAATATGACTTGTGTCTAAACATTGCTAATAAAGGGCAGTAATTTAAACTCTTTGTTGAATTTCACATAAATTTTTAGTGCCTATATATATAGCCTCGCCCAAAGTGCAGCTGAGAATAATCAACCTCAAGAGTCACTGGATTCATATCCTCTATTTGTTTTCATTTGTAGTTTGATACTCTACAAATGAATATTTGTGGGAATTTTTTTCAAAAATTGTTTTTGGTGATCTTTCCTTTCCTCTGGATAAGCAAATAAAATGTAAAAACCTTGTAGGAAAAATCTTTTTAAACAAAAATTTTAAATATACTAAAGGTCTTTTTTATTAAATTAACTGCAGTTTATGCTAACAGATTATATTACTTTAAAATGATATTTCAAAATTAAGCCTCTCAAAATGGCACACTCGTCATTTTAAATATTTAAAAAATAATAAAACCATTTATTTTTCTTCCTTTACACTCAGGGAAAGTAGGATAGAAAGTGGAGCAATTTCTTAAATGTAGTACCATATTTAGAGACAGCAAAGTCAAGGATTTGATCACATTTACTTTGATTTATAATTTTTGGTGTTTGTTTTAGTATATAGTGTTAATTTCTTATTAAAATATGAAAATAAAATGCTTTAGCCATGAGTTAATAAGTTATAGGACTACGTTGTCCATAAAATAAAATTAGATAAAGTAGGAAAATAAATAATTTTTTGACATCTCATAGTTTGTATGTTAAAAAGTTCATGCAAAATATTTTATAAACCAGGAAAGCTACTTAATAGTTTCTTTGCCAACTTCACTAGCCTCTTGGAACGAGGTTTCAATGAAATGTTTAGGCCAACTTGTGACCCTGACTTTTAAACTAATATTTTACATGTTAGAAATGTAAATTAAAGTCTTATAATTATACATAGGATGCATTTTCATTCCGGAAGCATTGCAGTAGATATTACTGATTTGGGGGTCTGTTCTTTCTGATATATGAAAAAGGAAATTAAAATTTTCAAATACTGTTTGAAATGTGATGTCACATGTTGTTGTTAGTTGCTCTCGAGTCAATTTCAACTAATGACGACCCCATGTGTGCAGAGTATAACTGCTCCATAGGATTTTCAAGGCTGTGGCTTTTTGGAAGCAGATCACCAGGCCTGTCTTCCGAGGTGCCTCTGGGTAGGTTGGAACTGCTAACCTCTTGGCTGGTAGTCTAGTGCTCGTGTCCTCTTCTCCTTAACAATTTATGAATATTCAGATTCAAAAGTACAAATTATGTAAGTTGGATCTTTTCTAGATAGAGACGTCTTTTATGATTGTCTGAATTTTATGTTAGCAGTCCAAAAGTATCCCAGTTGTTGCCTGGATGGGGGTGGAGCAGAGGAAGTGGGTGGTGCTCACAATAGTGACAGATTATTGCAGATTATATGGCTGCTTGCCAAAATACCACTAGTTGAAGGGAAAAGTGGAAGTTACTAACTGCGTCCTATGAATTTGTACGTGTTTATTTAACCAGTGATAATTACTTGCTGGTTTTATACACAGATGACAAGTTGTAAAGTTCTGAATTACTTGACGTGTGCTTAGTCTTATATTCTTTAATTTACCATGTTCATATTCCTTATCTTGTGGTCTGCAAAGATCACGCTGACCTCTTTATGGAAGGCTATGTGTTAGCAGAGAAAAAGGGAGGAGAGGAGACAGCTCTTTAAGGTACAGCTGCTCTGTTTGCTAGGTAAAATTATTGCAGAGATAAAATGTAAATATGCACCATCACATTTAGACGATTTATATAAAGTACTAATAAAAATAATCATTTCTTGTGAAGGAGTGTATATCTCTGAAAAGTTCTGGTTCAGCTTGAAATTGAGATTCTTACTATTGCAACATAAAAGGAAGCTTTGTGGAGGAAATATGACATCTCTGCCCAGATGCATAAGAAGAGAATTACAGTGAAGAGTTATTTTTAGGAGTGTCTTGTTATTAATGCATTTTATGTACAGAGAAGTGCCTTTAAAAGGTTTGCTTCTATCTCATGATCACTGGTAGGAATTATACAGGTTACTCAGGTCAACATGTATATTTGACTAAGAAATACTTTTTAAAGTATGGGCACCAATTTGATGCCACCAGCCAGCCTAGTTGGTCTTAGCCTGGCTGATTTAAGTAGTAACTTTTTTTTTTTTAAATGCAACCAAACTGAGAAGATATTGAGATCCTGTCAATACCATCAAATAGCAATGTAATATTAAGTTGTTCTGCTAAAAGAAGGGTCAGTTTAACTCCCAGTTCATAGCACTCCAGGAACTCTCCTTCAAGAATGGAGTGCAGTGTGTTCAGCACTAGGAAAGGTTAGAAGTGAGTCAAGGAATCTATCCACTTGTATTGTGTATACAGTTGAAACTGCCCCTCCTTAACTCTTTTACACATGTCCGGGTTCCTTATATCTCTTACTTTGGATTTTGGTCACATATGTTTGAGGCTGGCGGTATAATGATTAACCACCAGCATGTTAGATGAACGTGTCTGCCATGTGTGACCTTGCACAAACCCCTTAACCACCCCTAAGCCTCAGTTTCTTCATCTGTAAAATGGGCATAACCATAGTACCTACTCTACAGGATTGCCGTGATGATTAAATGAGATAATGTATGAAAAGCAGAAGTTTGGCTGCACATGGTAAAGGAAGGGCTCAGTGAGTGATAGTAGTTATAGTGATTTTTGTTATTTTGGGGCATTTCAGTTCTTATTCACAGCTCTGCCAGAAAATGATCATGGGAAGAGATATAAAACAATACATGCAGTCATGTATAGGTAATTGAATTAGTGTTACAATAATAGAAGTATTATATGATGGGAACACATAAATGCAATTTGTCAATCTTTTTTATGCCACTTCTCTTACCACATTATATATTACCTATTCCAAGGGAGGGAGGAGACAATAGGTGAATGTGTATTTAAATAATTATTGTCCAAAATGATTAAATAATCTGATAAATTTAGCTTTAGTAACATTTTTCTTTTCATTTTTCACTTTAGAGAATTTCTTCCCAATTTAACTGTACAACTCAGGAAAGCAACAATGCAAAAGTGCTGATTTCTTAATTCATTTTTCTCAATAAGATGTGTTTGTTTTCTTCTGAGTGGACCACTATCAGATAAAATTAGGACTATGTCTCAAAATTTTAGGTCAGTAAAATTTGTGTGCATGCAACCAGTAAAGAATATATACATTTGAGTGTAAAGAAGAATTTTTTATTTTCAATATCTGAGTCTCTGGAGGTTCATATGGATCAGTTAAATTTATCCACATATTGAAAAACATTAAAATTAATTATTATGTAAGCATATTTTCATGGGGCTATGTTAGCAATACAGATGTGAAGTTTGGGGGCACCTACAGTAAATAAACTAAACAAAGTAATGAAACTGCTTACAAGGTACTTTAAAAACGTTTAGCCGTTCTGAATTTATTTCTAGTGTTTGAAATTTCCAGGTCTTAATCTGTAATACAACCCCTTTACCTAGTACTCAGACCCTGGCTTAATTTTGTGTCTCTTCCTTGTTGCTGATACTCCCTAACTTTACAGTCTTGAAGTCCATCAAATTGCCGCTAAAATACACTGCATTTGTGGGCACGTACCTTAAAAACAAAAACCAAACCGGTAGCTGTAGAGTCAATTTTGACTCATGGTGACCCCATTTGTGTCAGGGTAGAACTGTGCTCTGTACGGTTTCCAATGGCTGATTTTTTTGGAAATAGATCACCAGGCCTTTCTTTTGAGGCACCTCTGGCAGACTCAAACCTCCAACCTTTTGGTTAGCAGCCTAATGCTTTAACTATTTGCATCACCTGGGTACCCCCTGCTACTATCCTAGTCAGACCCTCGTCATCTGACTCCTGGATTATCACAATTGCCTTCCTTCATTTCGGTCTCTCTTCTTTCCAGCTCATCCTGATTAATCATCTTGAAATGCTGCTTCCGGCATGTCACTCCCCTTTTCAGAAAGCTTCAGTGGTTCCCTGTTTTCCACCACATTAAATCTAACCTCTTCTGACTAACTTTCAATGCCCTTTCTAATCTGTCCCTACACTGCTTAGCCTGCTTCATTTCCTGTGTTCTTTGGCCTATACTTTCTGCTCTATTGAATTCATTCTGTCTCTTGAACATACCAGACTCATTCAAGTTTGTGGTTGGTACTGTTATCTCTTTCACCCCCAAAAAAGTCTTGCTCCCTTCTCTCTGACTACTCAGATTTTACCTTTCCTTCAAAACCCTGTGTAAATTTACTTCTTCTATGAAGATTTCCTAAGTATTTCAGTGTTTACTGTTTTGCTGCAGACTCTCAGGTGATTTTTAATTTAGCAAACCAATGAATGAAATCTGTATAGTGTCTTGTATCGCTCACTGTTTATCTTCACTAATGATATAAGGGAGTCCAGGTGGTGCAGTGGTTAAGAGCTATGGCTGCTAACCAAAAGGTCGGCAGTTCGAATCCACCAACCGCTCCTTCAGAACCCTATGGGGCAGTTCTACTCTGCCCTATAGGGTCGCTATGAGTTAGAATCAACTTGATGGCAACAATTTTAATGATATAAGCATTTTGAATATAAGGACCATCCATATCTTACAATTAAATTGTTCCCAATTCCTAGCTTAATGTTGAGCGTCCCTATTTGATTTGAAGGGAAGGAAGAAAGTAAACCTTTTTTATCATGCTTATCTAAAGTAAAGTCAATAATCCTATCAAATGGGACCTGAATATTTTCCCAATTTGGGTCAAGTCTGTCCCCTCATTTACAGAAATATGAGAGGCAAATGCAAGCAATTTTATAATTGGAAATAGATTGATATGTTTGCTTTTCTTTATGAGGAAGTATTTATATGTATAAGGAGCCTGAGTAGTGCAGTGATTAAGCGCTTGGCTGCTAACCGGAAGGTTGGGGATTTGAACCCAACAGCCGCTCTGCGGGAGAAAGATACGGTGATTTGCTTCCGCAAATTACAGCCTTGGCGACCCTGTGGGACAGTTCTACACTGCCCTATATGGTCACTATAGGGTAGCTATGAGTTGGAATTGACTTGACGACAACGAATTTGGTTTGGTTTTTATATATAGGCATGCTTCGCATAACGTCCATTGAGGCAACGTCAGACCGCATAGACGTCCATGATCACATAAGGTTATAATAGAGTTTAGAAATCCTGATCCGAGATCGGGACAGAGCGGATGTAACTGAACATAGCGAACGCAACAGCTTCCTACAAGCAACAGGTATATCTCATGTCTCTTGTATACAAAACGATTGCCCTGCCAGGTGTATAATAGTATAGTGCATATATAACCTATAACACATATGTCTTGATAGTCATAATAAATGCCTATGTTACTGGCTTATGTATGTACTGTACTATACTTTCTATTGTTATTTTAATATGAAATTTCCCTACTTAAAAGTAAAAAGTTTACTATATAACAGTGTATGCTTCGACTTACAGGCAGTGTAAGTTGGATATCGTGGTCTCTTGAGTGTTGTAGCGTTCTCTCTGTTTAATTTTCTTTTGAAAATATTACTGCGAAGTGCATCATGGCTCCCCAAACGTAGCAAAACAGTGCTAGTGATAGCAGCAGCAAGAGGCAAAGAAGTATCGATTTGGAAGTGAAACAAAAGGTATCCCATATAGCTTTGCTAAGTATAAATATGGTGTTTGCATGGTGTCCAAATCACATAATGTCCTATTTCACAGAATGTATCGTGGATGTTACGCAACACATGACTGTATATGTGTATGCATATATCCACATGCATATTGTCTTAGTTATCTAGTGCTGCTATAAGAGAAATACCTCTAATGAGTGGCTTCTACAAACAGAAATTTATTGTCTCACAGTTTATATCAGATCACAAAATTGAGGATAATTAGATAATACTGACAATCATGGCCTAGCCAAGTTGACACATAACATTAACCATCACCCATATGCATATATGTATAGATACATACTGTCTTAGTCATCTAGTGCTGCTATAACAGAAATACCACAAGTGGATGGTTTTAACAAAGAGAAGTTTATTTCCTCACACTGAAAGTAGACTAAAAGTCCAAATTTAGGGCATCGGCTCCAGGGGAAGGCTTTTTCTCTCTGTTGGCCTTTTTCTCTTCGGTGTTCCCCCCGGACTAGGAGCTTCTCTGTGCAGGGACGCTGGTCCAAAGGACGCGCTCTGCTCCCGGCACTGCTTTCTTGATGGTATGAGGTCCCCAACTCTCTGCTTGCTTCCCTTTCCTTTTATCTCTTGAGAGATAAAAGGTGGTGCAGGCCACATCCCAGGGAAACTCCCTTTACATTGGATGTGACCTGGGTAAAAGTGATGTTACGATCCCACCCTAATCCTCTTTAACATAAAATTACAATCACAAAATGGAGGCCAGCCACACAATTCTGGGAATCATGGCCCAACCAAATTGATACACACATTTTTTGGGGGACATAATTCAAACCATGACACATACACATACATATATATGATCATATATATATGATTATGTTTCCTTTCTTAAAATGATATAGTCTGCACTTGGAAAGGTTTAGTTTTGACATTAACACCTGTCTACCCTGTCACTGAATTTCTCTATAGATTAAACATGAACAGTAAATCTTACATAACCAAGAAATATATTTACCCAATTCTTTAAGTAACCTAAGTGCTTACTGTGTGTGAGGTGAAGCTCTGTGAGAGGATACTGAAATATATTACACATAATCTCCGCCTTCAAAAAAACTGTTATTGTGTGTTATTGAGTCAATTCTGACTCACAGCAACCGAATGTGAGAGAGGAGAACTGTCCCATAGGGTTTCCCAGTATTTTCTCCCATAGAGCGGCTGGGTGGGTTTGAACTATGGACCTTTTGGTTGGCAGCCAAGCACTTAACCATTGCACCACCAGGGTTCCTTAGGGTAGTATTAGGTAAGACAAAATATATACTCAGAAGCTTAAATAGAATACTTGTTAACTTCAGTTGGATGTTTATTGCATCTTTTGAAATAATACATGCCTTCCTTTGTATTGATGTCAGAGAGCATATAGGACATCCAAAAGAAAAGTTTAAAAATGCATGTTTTTAATATGTAGAAGTATAGATATTTGTAAATTCTAGTTAGTACCTTGGGTTCTGTGTTGATACTTGGTTGTAGATGCAGCCATTTATTCATTTATATATTCAATAAGTATTCATTGAGCATCTACTTGTGTCAGGCCTTGTGCTAGGCACTGAATAGGACTGTATATTTTCCTTAACTAATAAGCAGAAAATTAAACAATTTGGCTAATGCAATGCAGTAGAGATCATTATGATGCTAGAAAAACACCTAGGAAGGGCATTGAATCATCCCCTATTCTAATTACCTAAGCTAGTATACAAAATACCTATTATTTATTCCTTATTATGCTTCAGATTTATCTTGCAAATTTGGATCAGTCATTTAAACTTATTACTCCACAGAATAGATGATAATAATAATAATTGCTGATTATTGAGTGCTTGCTAGGTGCCAGATATTGCAATATATGCTTCATTTAGTGAATATCCCACTGAATCTTCGTAACTCCTATTATAGGTACGTATCCCCCCCC